GAAGGAACACCACAAAACAAAAAACCTTTACTGACTTCTAACCCAGTCATGGTGAAATGATTTTTATCGATGTTCTGCAGTAACATCACACCCTGGAACTCAAATTTCACAGATTGATTAAACAAACAACCCTGCGAGTTTTGCTGGGATTATTTGTCTATTTTTGTCATGTTGCCGATTATAAAAATAGAACAGTATGAGTGTGTACAAGATAGAGATGTGGAGACCCAAAAGCAATAGTAATGTGGCAATTGTATCAGAGTAAAGTACTAAGAATTTCTGGTAATAATACAGAAACATACAGGGAAGAGGACCAGGTAGATCCCTTATAGTCAAATGAACGTGGTTACTAATTTTCTGTGGCATCAAGATATACAGAATTAATGCATAAGGAAACAAATCAAGCAAAGCAAGTAACAGAAGACCTGATAATTAAAAAAAGCAATAAAACCCGTAATATAAACAATCTTTGTTTCATGGACAAACTACAGAAGCATCTCAATCTTTGGAATATAAGAGCACATCTAGGAAGTGCAATTTGCAAGTAAAAGCACCAGATAAAAAGCTACAGAATTTTTCAGCCTGCAGCAGATATTGACACAAAGTTTTCATTACAGGAATAACATTATGATGCACAGACAAGAGATACATCACGGCAGGTAGAAAACACCCTTTTTCCTTTGACTTCCAAGACAGAGGTGAAGAGTCTCAGACAAATGGTCACCTATAATTTGTTACATTAACTTCAAAAAAAAAAAAAAAAAAAAAAAAGTAGAACAAGTTCACCTACAAGGTGGATAGAAGATATACTACAGATTTATTAGCACTTTGAAAAGAGCCTTTATCACCCTAAGAGTACTGAGATTTCAGAGAACAAATAAAATGTCTGTATCTGATTTTTGCCAGCTGTGGTTTATCTCAAAGAAGGAATTTACAAACTTAAGATAGCAACAAATACTAGTTCTCAAAGACACGCTAAACACTGCATCTGAAATATGAAATATGAATATGAAGGAATTACAGCCTTGCATATGTCTACTGATTATTGACCATAGTCAAGTCTATATTAGAATTAACAGCACAGACCACAAGGAAAAACCAGAAAGTAGGCAGACAAAAAAAAGTTACTAAGGTCAACACAAACTGCAGCAAGGTTGAAACAAGGTAACTAGAAAGTAAAGATACATTTTTTCGAACTGTTTAAAGAGAACACACTGAACCTTTCTCCACAGATGGCTACAGAATACAGAATACCTAGTAGGTAAAGACTGAGTTATCCCTTCCAAATAAACCCATTTTTCTAGTGTCTGAAATGCATAAGAATAAGGGCTGAAAAATTGTGACTTCTAAAGAAATCAGTAATCATGCCAGGATTCAATATGTAATCTATACCAGGTAACAGCTTACTAATCTTCTCTTTCTCATTTCAGCTCAGAAACATCCCGCAAAGAAACATTGCATCCCAAACACCAGTGCAAAGTCAGAAATTACTCTCTCCCATGGGTCAGACTGGAAGAGCATCCTCATTTCTAGCTACTTTCTGGCTAGAATGTGGTATAAACTGACTAGCTAGTGTCTTGTGGACATTTTGACACTACAAATTCCCTGCTGCTGCAAGTATTTCAAGCACTAGCAATGTCTCCCTCCTTTTCTGGTCTTTTCCTTTAAAAGAACCCATTTGAGGCTTTTGGAGTTTTGGTTTTTTAACTAAAAGCCTAATTTTCTTAAAGGCTCTTGGGATACATTTCATGGCTCACAGTGTGTAGGAAGGAGAGGGATGAACGGACATTTTGTGGGCTTTTTAAAGTTTAAAAACCCACCTGAGTTGTCTATGTGAATGCCACTCCACAAGCCATGATAGTTTCTTATACTCCTACAATCCTAAACATTTAAAATACTTCCTCTCTGTATTACCCCTGCAGCTCTATTCCCTACCACTGTCAAGTGTTAACAGTGTATTTTTTATATCTGAAAAAAAATATTGATTTTGGAAAAACAACTATCTTTGCAAGTCTCTCAGCAACAGTAGCCCTAGGTTCCCGAAAACAAAGAGAGCTTTGGTATATATATATTTGGAACTAAGAATTTCATATCAAAAGTGGCATTTTACATATGTACAAGGCCAGTTATGAGGTACCATCTTACAGGTATGTTTCTTCACTGTAATTAAATACAGATACCAGTATGGGATTTTATAGTTTACCATTTCAGACCATGGCTGCATTTTCAGAAAGTGTCTTTACCTCAGACTAGTATTTTACATGTTCTTAACTGTTGCTGATGCAGAGTAGCCAGCTATCAGAGACAGAGAAACTAATTTCAGAATCTCCTGCAGAAGAAGATTTCCCGAAAAGAAGATTAAGGAGTAGCCGGAAGATGAAAGGAAACTAAAGAATGAAAGCATAAGTCTCACTACAGAATGTGAATGAATGTTGTTGCAAGGAACAAGGAGATGTCTGAAGAGAAAGAACAGTTATATTATACAGTTTAGTGGATTCTTGATAATGAATATGATCCTATGCCAGAGAAAGAAAGGGAAGACAGGTGCATAAAAAGAATAGGGTAGTTTTTATTACCACCCACAGCTCAGCAGAAGTTCTTTCCATCACTGGCAGTATTTACATTGCATCACTAAGTCCTTTTCTTCTCCTTAGCTACTGACATCTCACAGATTTAAAAAAAGATATATAGGGGATAACATCAAAAAGCATCCAAATTTAGTTCTTTCAGAGTATATGTATATAATCTGAATATATATACACACACACACACTTTTAAGTGTATCATAAATACCTAAACTATGGTCCCTTTTTACATCCAGCAACTACGTGGGAGTTCTTAATGCTCCTACAATAAAGCTCTGCAATATGCATTAATATTGTAAATCTGATTCTTAACTACTAACTACTTCCTGCTGCAACAGATTAAAGGATTTGCCCACCCTCCACAAACCTGAGTGTCACTTTTTAGAGACTTGCGGAAAATTACAGACCCAATTCAGCAGAGAATATACTTCACTCTAAATAAGCACTTTTCTGAAAGGAGTCTCTACCATTGACAGCTTCAGAATATGAATAATAGTGCCTTGTCTGCCTGCTTACTGTGATCTTTTCCTTGTCCTGCAGCAGTGCAAACGCTAGCTTGAGGAGTGACTGGCATCAAAGCCTGACGAATGGCTTTCTCCCAGCCCTGAGCTACGTCAAGTCCAACTCCGGTGGCAGCAAGAACAGGACTGTGATGACTGCTGCCATTGTTTTCGCCAACAAAGTACACCATCGTGTCAGTGATGATCTCAAAACAGTATGGGTTGCTGCCCTGCACCACGTTTGAAAAATCTCGAGGCTGAGTCACCTGGAGAATTTCTGAAAGTGGAATCTCCTGAAGAAAAATATTAAAGATTAAAAAATGAAAATGCACATAGTATTTTCATATACTGATATTCAAAACTTAAAGTGTTTGCAAAGAAATCAAAGCAAATATATCAAAACACCAAAACATCAAGCTTCATAACTAATGTCAAACTGTGCATGACCATTGCCCACCCACAGTTTTCTGAATTCCTCTATACAAGCTTAGATAGACTTCCAGCCCCACCACAGTTCTCTCTATACAACTACTATTCTGTACTCAGACAAACTGCATTTATATTCAGCATGAGACACGCCCCCACCACATACAAATGATGCATAACTATAGAATGACCACTTTCCCCCTGTAGTTTATACCAGAGAAGAACAAGACAGGTGAAAAAAGTGAAACAAGACAACATTAAGAAGAGGATGTGGTTATGTAAGCTAGTCACTAAGCACTGCTTCACGTATCGTTTTGGGTAAAGATTCTCTTTCATACAGATATTAACCATTTCTACTGACTCCTCTACCTTGTCAGTTTAAGATCATGGCACAAGCAGTACTAGAGAACAGATCTGAAGGAAGAAATGGTTGCAAGTTCACACTAGCTGGAAGAGGACATTCCACATACATGGGAAGGTACACAGGTGCACGTCACTTGCAAGAGTAGTGAACAAGCAGGTGAACACCAGGCTGGCATTAGGGGGATAAGAGACAGTAGCTGATTAAGATGAAGAGCAAATAAATGTAAAGGCAACAACTGTGAATTATTCTAACAGCAAAGACAAATAACCCGAGATTTAAGCAGTTAAAAAAAGTGGGGCAAAGGGGCAAGTCAAAGGACTAAAAGCAGTGACATAACGGAGCAACAAGCAAGGAACATATTTTACCAGCTGTGTTTTGAACGCACAGGGCAATACAAGTATCAGGGAGGTCTGAGAAGAAGAGACTGCATTGGTCAAGATAGGGATGAAAAGGATCTGGGCAAGTTTAGCTGGGTGTACAGAGAAAAGGCTTGATCTTAGAGATGTTATAAAGGAAGAAGCTGCAAGATTTGGACCCCCACCTAAAGGTGTAAGACAAGAAAGGGAAAAATCCTGTTTATACATTCGAACACATCTTCTGAATATTCCACCATTGAACACATTACTATATTAACAATATACTAAACTTATTGCTAAGTTTCATTTATATAATGCCAGGCTGCACAGTAAATTTTCCTCCGAATCTTGCTTGCAACTTTCAGTTGTACAGTTGGAAATAATTTAATTTTTGGGAACGTCGAAATAAAATACGTAAGCATGCAAACTTTCAGTCACTACTTTTAGAACACAAAAATCCTAGCCTTCATTGACTGGCAGCCAAACAAATTCTCTGGTAATTGTGAAGAAAGCTTAATATGCTAGGCAATTCAGGAGAACAGTACATGTAAAATGTAAGGAGAGACATACTCAAGGGGATTAGAACAGGAGCTGCAAGCAACTTCTCAGAGTTAGTCTTGGTCCTTCTCACTTACAAGCTTTGGCCAACAATTAACCTGTCACAGTTTTGATTAAAAGAGACAGGGAAATTGAGATAATACTTATACTGCTCACAAGTAGATTTCAGATCTATAAAGCACTGAGTAAATCAAGTGCAACATAATTATTACTTATCATTAATTACCTTGTAATATTTTGTTCCAGATTCATTTTGAAATAGCGTGAGGCATTTGCTGTCCAGTCGCCAATAATGTCTTTTTCTCTACAAAATGCACAGTACAATAACATAAGAAATAAATCACTAGTATGGCTTTTGTTAACCAATTATTTAAATGAGAAAGGCTTTAAATGACTAAGATAATCAACTAACATTAATCTACAGTTGCATCTTAGGCTAGATACATGAAAATATACACTTTGGGAATAAAGATTTTTTTAAACTCAGGAAGAGGCTCATAAAAATTATTTCCACAAACCAGAAAAAAAAAAAAAATCACTTACCTTACAGTAATAGCAAGTAGTGACAAGAACAGTTATCTTGCACAGGAAAAACACTTACCTACACAGGTTTCACTCCAGATGCATGTGCTCACAAAACCTGAATTATTTTAATTTATTAACAATTGTGGGAGTCATGCTTTCTCCCGCTGTGCCCTCACACCAACATTGCAAGACTTCAAGGACTGAGGAAGCCTAACAAGTCCTTAATTCTTTTGTCAACACAGAATTCTAGAAGGTCAAAAGCACACAGTGGCAAGACAGACAGATTACAAGATTCAAGTGGACAAAATATCTTGGGGGAAAAAAAGAAAATAAAAATCAAGGCAGCCTGAATAGCCATTTTCTGGAAGTCTCCACCAATTAAATATCATCTCCACCAAAAAGTAATATGAATAAGCTGTTGCACATAACTGTCTTGTAATTTTAAGCAGAGGAACATTCCTCAAAACAAAGAAGCTTTTAGAAAGCTAATATGGCTGTATAAATCTAACTTACTTTGCTTGGAACATACTCGTATAGTTAGAAAACCATTTTCATTTTTCTGTGACAAAAAATCCAAAGACCCTTAACTCTGGCCTTAACTAGAATGACACTAGTTTGAAACATAATACAGCAGAGCTTAAATGACTTCAATCATGGGGAAGCTAAGACTACCTGTAGGAGTTAGATAAAGAAACATAGGACATGAATGGATTTAACTAAATGGAATTCCCAGCCAGCACTGAATGGAAACTGCTTGAAAGTATAAGGGTCAACCTGTCTTTTGGATATATATGCTCTTTATTAAATCATGAATCAGGAAAGACTTCTGAGGAGGGCAATTAAGGAACAGGTTGGTAACTCACTCAGGGATCCAAAATCTGCCCATACCGTATTCTGAGAAAGGACAGTCTCAGAGTAAGGAAAAGAATACAGACAATAATACAGAAACTTCTCATTATAAAGGGTGAAATATCTTGTTATCCAGGGTCAGCAAGAAGTATACAGATATTGCAGTTAAAAGGAACCTCTTTGGAACTGATAGAAAGTGCAAGTTGTTTCAGGAAGTGGAAATAGTCTGACATTGCTGAGAGCAGGGTGGTCAAGGGAAACAGCCAATGATCTCCTCCCATTAGGAGATCTTGCTTGGCTGAAGGTATTTTGCTTTGGGGCAGCATATTCCACTTTATTTGAATGGCCTTTTTCGGTAGATACCATCTAGGTAGCAGCCAGACTGACAGATGGGGTGGGTGGGGGGAAATCAAACTAAGCTAAGGTGTACAATCTGACCACTGTTCTATGAGGATGTACAAAAAAGGTCCATGGAAAGATGTACACGCTGTACCGAAAGATTAAATTGCAGCCAAGTACCAGGTCTGCCCTAAACACTGCGAGAACTACTCATCTTCATCTACTACCTGGCCTTAGTTTTTCCATAGCCAGCTGATGATAATCGTGTCTGTTAAGTAGCCTTGGCTGGAATCTCATCTAAACTATGCTAAATACTTATTTTGGTTTGTGATAAATACATCTAGATATTAGAAAACTGTACTTTAAACAAATATTTTGTAAGGCAGTTTCTGACAGACCACTTACAGTGGTCTGTTTAGTTGACAATCACAAAAAACAAAAATACTACAGTAACCTGAGCTGACTCATATCACCCCTCAGCTTGACTTCAACAGAACTTAAATAACTTTGCTTCTCTAAATTCCTGAAGTGCCCTTCAATCAGACTCCTGCATAGAGACAAAGAATGCAAAAGTATTTATGCTGCCTTTCATGGACAGTCTCAACATGACTCATTGTGCTTCAAGAGATCTGGGAACTTCTTGACTTCATCCTTTTCATTCATCCACCAGAAGACAAGAGGATTCACTCCCTCCCATCAAACAACTCTAAGGAACCTAGTTATTCTTCCTTATCTTCCTCCTCAATACACAAAACCAAGGAGCTTGCCTAAGAAGGTTCAATTAAGAGATCATTATTGGTAGCACTGGAAACAAACAACATAGTCTTTCTGGAGGATGCTTGAATACCCAAGGACATACATTCAAGCCACAACTCTCTGTTCCACTGATGTCAAGATGAATAGTGTGTTTGGTGGGTGGGGGGAGGGGGATGGTGTTCAATAATGCCTGCTTTTAGATAGAGTGAATTGGTAGAGGAATGAAGGGCTCCCCACATCTACACATAAATATTTACAAACACCTAGATCATTAGAATAATAGTGTCAACCATTTCAATACTCATAATTTTATAATTGTTTCCACCTTTTCATGTAGTTGAATAAAAACACTGATACAAATATTTAGTTCAACTGCTAAACAGAAAGATGACATAAGCAAATTATTCCAAGTTATCATCTCAGAAAAGCTGCAATCTTAAACATGCAATTCATTTGAGACAATTTAGAGATGCTTTTCCTTCTTAAAAAGGAGAAGGAACAGTACTGTTGAATCACCACATGAAGAATTTTGAATAAACTACAGTTTCTCCTTTGCACCAGATTTCTTTATAATGAACATCATGGTTAAGTTCTTTCAAATGATACTGTAAATCAGAATATCTAAATAAGAGAAATAAAATACACTGGTTTAGAAAAATAATATAACTTAATGTACGAAGAAACTAAAGTTACTCACCAGATTGTCTCTACTAGTATAGTGGACCATCCATCCTTCCTTCACCATTGTACTGCTCTTCCTCTTTGTGTGCTTGATCGACTGTACAACTCTCATGAGAGGAATATTATTGCTTGTTGAAGGACTAAAAAAAGATAGAACAACTAATATTTAACAAGTTAAAATACAACAGTACTGCAATTACACTGGTACTACACATTCAGCCCATAATTTTCAGGAACAGGCACTTTTTCTTCCCATACAAATTACTTCATTGATAGATGAAATTAATAAGGTATCTGAGCTTCCCCTACCTCTCCTCGTGCAAGTACTGTAGCACTTAAATTACTCTATGGAACACAGAAGAAACACACTGGAATGAGGACACCTACAGAAATCGTCCTCTCTCAAAACAATTGGCTGAGACTGCTGGTCTTAATCCAGCATAAAAATATAATTTACATCAGCACTGCTATTATTTTCTCTTGTCTAAGTTGACTATACTACTTCTTCATATTGTTATTACACTAATAAAGGGCCCTATCTAAGCATACTTTCAATTTATGAAAATATCAACAGGGGTGTGTTAACTCAAATCACAGCTGCACTAGGAAATTTTATCAATGCTCAGGGATATTAAATGTCCTGCAGACAAAGAATTTGACAGTCTATAACGTTCTGACAGAGTCATTAAACATACAGGTTTTCATACTGTTGAAGATGGAATGAACCACTAAGCTGCCCGCTTAACACCAGAGCTCCTACATGTGGCACTAACAGAAATGTTTGCAAACACATGAAATCACATGGCAGATTCAAAACTAAAAATGTAAGGATGCTTTAACACAGCACACAGTTACACTGTAGAATTGGCTGCCACAGGATGCCGTGCATGCCAAAAAAAACAAAACAAAACAAAAAAAAAACCCAACACCAAACCCACTTTAATTGCTTCAAATGCTATTAGAAATAAATGGAAAAATCCTACCTAGAGATGGAACACAAAAGAGATGCTACTTCCAACTCAGGAAGTCCTTGAGCTATAAATCACTGAAAGTTGAGAAGGTATCACTATATGCTCTTCCTCACATATTTGCTATTAAGGACTGAGCTAAAACGACCTTTGGTTTGACCCAATACAACTGCTCTTACATTATTAATAATGACTCACCTAAAATCAGGATGACACTATTCAGAGTAATACAGAAAGTAAAAAGACCAAACTTGATTAAAGGAACTATGTAACAGTTATCAGATAGAAGACTCCAGAAAAATCACATTCAAGTTATATGAATCAAACTTCTGCCTCAAATGTGTATAAACTGTGATGTGAACATTAAAATATCTTGAGTAATTCCTTTTAAATCAACACATGTATAACAGTAACTAAATTAGGCTAAAGTCACAAAGATCTTAGTCATGTCTTAGCCACGTCAAGTTAAGCCATAAATTTTACCACTAGCTTTATTTCTTTCATAACAGTCATAGCACAGCACTTTTTCCAATTAGAAGAGACCATAATATTTCAATTTATTTATGTTTCAGATTTTCTTGGGACAGGATAATTTTACAAAGCAGTTTCAAGTTAAAAAAAACACAAATGGAGAAACTACACTTTTAACCCAGTTTTACTGCTTATCAGAAATGTTTTACTCAAAGTTTTACTTCAAAATATTGAGGAAAGTACATCCAGAGCAAAGAAATCCACCTTATGATTTACCTGATGGTTTTGACAGCTTCCTCGTCTTTGTCTGCATCAAGGTCAGATGGATCCATAAAGAAGATTTTGTCCTCTGGAGGAGAGGGCTCTTCAGCATCATCTAGACCCCGACTACCATCACTGTTCATTTCACTGCTGTCAACTTCCATTGGCATATCCAAGTCCTGGCCTGGGCTAGCAGGTTCTGGAAACAACACAGGATTCAGATATATTTCAATTACACAATTAAAAAAAAAAAAAAAAAACAAAAACCACAAACCACAAACCCAAAAACAAACCCCACACCAAAAAAAACCCCCAAAACTCCACAAAATTTCTTCCTCAGTTCACATTCATGCAAGTAAACATAAAAGTACAATCAGAATATAAACAATCTTCGTTTTTGATAAATGATGCAGAGCGTGCTAATGAACATTATCAATTTGTTTTTGCTAAATGCCAAGGCAATAAAGACCCAACCAAAACAAGAATCATACTGAAAGAAAAGCTTAAGGTCTAAACGTAAATCTCATTAAGTAATTCTGTTCCACAAGTAGTAAGTACAAAGTAACCTTTTGATGGCTAGAGATGACCCAGAGAATTATTCCTGTGCAAATGAAATTCTCCGTCAACAGAAACCCAACTCTGTTCTCGCTGCCCTTGTAGCCCATAATAGCAGAAGAGAGAAAGGGGCTGTGGTACCGCAGGAAGAGAAAAGCACAACAGATCTTATTCGCATCTGACTCTCTACTGGCAGAAGTTTAAAGTGTCCAAAAGCTGTACAACTTGCACTGTGGAAAACTAAGAATTAAGACATACAAATACCTTCATCTGTAGCCTTTTTTTTTTCTTTTTTTGGGCTGAGGAGAGTTCAATTTAAGGATGGGAGAAAGAACAGCAAAAATAAACAACTCCTTACGTCCACAGAAGAATTGTCTGAAACTGCAGTTCCCAAACTACGTCGTCTAGCACCTTAGCATCACAAGGGTGGTGAAAGCAGGTTGCAGCAACATGTTGCACATTATTGTTCACTGCCATCAGTCTCAAGACCCAGGCAAGAGCCTTAGAGCTGGAGAAGGCAGGCATGAACAGATGGGATACGTTATGCAATGGCAATGGACCCACTGGCTAAGAGGGCTGCTGCTGAGGCCTCTGAATCAGGTTGTACAGTTTGGTGTGATCTGCTGCATGTCATCAGTTTTATTCCCCTCAAAAATATGCATGCTAAGGATCAAGATTTTGGACAACACAATCACAGAATGGTTGAAGTTAGAGGGGACCTCTGGAGGTCATCTGGTCCAACTACCCCTTGTCAGCCCATTTCTCCAGCCTGCCAAAGTCCCTCCGGATGGCAGCACAACCCTCCAGCGTATCAGCCAGTCCTCCCAGTCATTGGCAGACTTGCTGAGGGTACACATAATCCAAATCATTAATCAAGATGTCAAACAGGATTGGACCCAGTATTGGCCCCTGGGCTACACCACTAGTTACCAGCCTCCAACTAGACTTCATGCCACTGATCATCACCCTCTAGGCCCATCCATTCAACCAGCTTTTAATCCACCTCACTGTCTGCTCATCCATCCCGTATTTCGTCAGTTTAATACTGGTCTAAAACTTCTAAGAATAAGACTCTGAACTTTCTGCCACACACCATTCCTCACCTTCCCCTTTCAACTCTGTAAGGTCTACTCAGAAAATAGTCCTACTAAACTGAGGCTTGAAAAAAATCAGAGCAGGGTGTTTTGGTTTGTTTTGTTTTTTCCCTTTCTCTTTTACCTCACAAACTGCTGGGCTAGCTCTGGCCACTAAAAATCATGGATATGAGAAAGTCACAAAAAATGGTACTTGTCTTCAGTTATTAACATTTAAAAATATATATTTCATGGTGAACAATGAGCAGACCGATCACAACAGATGTTTAATTTTTGTACATTGAGAAGGCTTCTTGATTTTTTTATTTTCCTTGAGCAACCTCAAGCAAAGCATACTATATTTGCCAAGACTGATTAAGTAAAATGAAAGTCACCAGAGTGTAAGATTTACAGTGAATCTTTTTAATTGTCTGTGATCTCAGGTGAAAAAACTGGGAAGAGAAAACAAAAAGACATAAGATATTCAAAGATGAGGGAACCAAAAGCTAATGCATCTTGTTAAGCCTCCAAAGATCTGTCAGTATTTGAAAGCGTGTTTCTCATCTTACCTCCATTGAAAGTCACCTCTCCAAGACAGTCTCTAGGTACTTTAGATGCACAGCGTTTGTGACAGTTGAATCTGCAGTCTAAAATAAAAGATAAATAAGCCCATGATACCAGAATCTTACTCCTACTCAGACGCTAACATTCTATCATTCAGTACTTCCATCACAAGCTTCAGTTCAGATGCACACATTTGCATGTAACTGAAGACAGCACCAATGAGGTCACCTCCAGAAGGAAATTAACAATCTTGTCCTGATGTCACGTGTTGATTTGTCCCACCACTATTTATTATGTCAGCACTTCCTCCTTCCAGGACAAAAGAGTTTTCTAGTTCTCTGTCTTTCTCTGTAGTTATTTTTTCCATTATGATGTAATTTTTCCCACCCTCTCATCTGTTCCACACCCTTTTTTCCATTGCTATATGATTTAAATGTCTCAGCTCTATCATTTTGCCCCACCTGCTGCCTAAGACTTGCAGCCATCAAAGCCTCTAGCATCACACACCTATATCACAGAGCAAATATACTCTGCAGTAAATCGCAAAGTCCAGTTCCCCTATCATTCAGATTACAGATTTGGCTGAACACTGAAGCTCCACTTCTGCCTGCTGACATAGGGCAGACAGAATAATGTTATGTCCAGATCTGGCCTGACGTGCAGATGAAATCTAACCTGGATGTGTGCCATTTCTGCATCTGAGGTATCAGATGCAGCCTACTGAGCAAATTCCAGCATACAACATCAGCGGTATTAACAGGAAATTCCTTTATTAGCGCCACTGCTGTAATTTTCAACTCTGTATCAACATAATGAATTTCAAAACTCCCTACTGCCCCCACAACTGTTTTCAAACTGATAATTTAGCCCCTTTCTGCTACCCAAAGAAAGCTCATTGTGCTCTCCTTTTAGGCCCAGACAAGAGAAAAATCATTATCTCCCCATTTTTAGTAGCAGAGAAGCCAAACCCTGGAGCAAAATACAATGCTGTTCAGCTTCTAAGTGCCTACAAGGAAGCATCCTAGGACACCAATGAACTGTCCTTTCTATAGCAGTGTTTTCAGTCCATATTACAGAATATGGTTACTTTGCTAGTTTGAATGGGGCTGGAAGAAACAGAGACTTTTCAAATCCTACCAGGGAACTACAAAGACTAAGAGCAAGTCAATCCTAATAAATTAAACTATATCCAGAAACATTCTTGGGTACTGCAATGCAACTCTCTAGTCTAGTAAACAGTTAGAAACGTCCCCTAGCATGTTTTTGCCCACAGCATTAGCACAGTCCCAAACAGTTCCCAGGTCTAGTTCATAAATCAGAGCATCCCATGAAACTGTTCCCAACAGGCAGTCTGCATACAGCCACCCAAGCTGGGATGCTAAGAAAACTTCTTCATGAGCACTGGTCATTTTGTCCCAGTTGACCTTAGTGTCCAGGAATGTTCCAGAGCACATTTAATTTATTACCACAAATATAGCCTTAGCATCCCAAAGATCATCCTCAGAGTCCAAGTAGAAGCCTGGATGAATTCAAGAAATCCAGGGCTCTTACGGGTACTCAGGAACATGGGACTGCTGAAAGACCCCAAGCTTTAGGAATGTGCACAAGGAAGGCGGTGGGAAACCTTAAGAATCTGTAGGAAAAAGCAGTATGAAAATATTTTGATTGTTTGGTATCAATTCCTGATACATTAAAAATACGTATAGGATCATACTGCACAGATGGAGGCCTATTCATATACTTATTTCTGTCCTGTGCATATACATAACATTTCTCTAGGCTTGTTTTCCATACATAAATGCTATTTTTATCCAGTGTCATTCACTTTCCTGAAACTGATGTGGTAGCCCCATTTGTTCAGCTGGATATACAGTCAAAACCGTATATGGTCAGTAGCATCTATATGTTAAAACTGCAAAGCATCTTTTTCAGGCTTCATTATTTATGTATTACATGTATCCAAGAGACACACTGACTGAAAAAAAGAAAAAGATCAAAAACAGTTCAGGATGCAGACTTCACACAGACTACAAAGACTGCAAATTAAAAAAAAAACAGAAACGGAAGATAAAACTTCTTCCTTACTTACATGAGACAGCAGTATTTTTAGTCAAAAGAAATAACACAGCTATAAGCTTACAATTTTTGCTCTCTTCTACGAAAGGTAACTGAAAATGTATTAAGTGATCTCTTTCAAAATGTTGACCTTTGGTACTCATGTTTGACAAACTCACATGAGAGCAATGGAAAGTCTTTTCTATATTAATATTTAGAATTCATCACTAGTTTTCTTTCCTGCAACAAAGCTGACAGATCTGTGCTATCCAGCAATAAAGAGCCGGAAGAAGATCACAATGTCATAGTTATGCCCTAGGAACTGCATAAAAGGGTCTGAGAACTGAAGTCATGCACCTTAACATATGCTAAATAAAAAACAGCTGATGATAATAAAAATGCAGCTGAACTAAACTAGTTCAGGAAAGGCACCTACCTGTATAATTTTTTTCCAAAAGATAATAACCAGCATTCTGTACTAGAATAACATAATGAAAAGTTACAAATTCTTTAGTGATGAGTCTAGAAGACAGACATTGAACAAAGGGAAGTATTTCCCATTTTTATTAATTTGGAACTATCCTTGTAGAATTAAGGTGTTCCGATTCTACAAGTGATTAAATCTTATTTTTCAGAAAAATATACAATGCACAGTCCACTAAAATGAAAATGAGGGCTGCTGTAATCCTCTCAAAAATATGCAATTTTTCAAAAGTTAATACTGTCCCCTTTCGCAGTATACAACTTTCTGGCAATCTAAGTTGAAATCAGTTTTAAATACAAGACCTTTACTAAAACTTATCACTGCAGCAGAAAATTAAATGTTTACCTTTACACTGCATTCCTTGGCGAAAAAGGCCCTTGAGCAGCCGTTTGCAATACTGGCATATGGTGGGACGAGTGTAAGAGTGAACAGCAAAGGTGTGCGGAACCTTCACTCTGCAAAGCACCATCTTTTCCATCCAGATGGGACGGCCACTCCAGGAGGGAATCCTCTTACTAGGTTCCGGGCAGCAGCGCTGCAATAAAGAAGGTATACACCATTTGCATGAAAACAGTTCTACTTCAGGGGGCGGGGGTGGGGTGTGTGTGAAATTTCAGTGGAGCTGGGAAGGAGGTGTTGGCTCAGAAAATGACTGAATAAGACAGCAATCTGGCCAAGAAGCTTTAAGAGGACATTCTGATATCATAAAACAAAACCAAGAAAACCCCAGACAGAAAAATCCTTGCAGAGAGCAGCAAAGTATGTATGAATCTTTATTTCCACAGAAGCTAAAATGCTAAAAATTCACTTTTATGACCTTTTTTAAGGAACCTGGCAAGGTTCACAGACAGCATATACAGACCCCCATGTAGGGGACAAAATGGAAAATGCTGGAGGTAGGCAAACCAAAAATCAAATCACTACCTCAAGCTATCAGTTTTAAAAAGCAAAGTACAGCACTCCTGGATAGCTTACTAAGTTAGGCAAAAATACTTAGAAAATTAAAAAATCATTTTGGAAATTAACCCCACAAGAAATCTTTGAAATTAAGTTAAAACAAAAACTTTGGCAATTAAAACAAAAAAAGGCACTGGGTATCATACTGAACATTCACCCAGATAAATGTACAGTTACCCACATCTACAGAATAATGTAAAGGAACATGGCCCTGTACATCTGACCTAAAGCATTTTAAGACTGCTGAAAGATGAACTGCAAATATGATAATGTTTTATTGATCATCTAAGCCAAGTATTTGAAACTGGATAGCAAAGAAGAGGTGTCAAAGAGGTACTAAACACACATGTAGAAATCAAAGTTGAATTCCACCAGAAGAGAAATGCTTACAATTCCACATTCACTGAATAAATCTCGCCAATAGTTATAAACATCAGAATAAATATTTTTCATGACTCAAGACTAGGCTTTGTAGCCTCTAGCTAAAAAATTCCATTCTTGAACTAGAAAATCTATACAATTTATATTTTAAACTATGGTAAGAATGTAAGAGAATTGTTATACTGTAAAATAATAGAATTAGATAAGTAAGAAAGACTAAGCGTCAAAAGCACTGCTTTTATCCCATGGTGAAAGCAGCAATGGAACAAATGGATCTAATCACTGCCTGCCCTGCCTTAAGATCCCAATATAGTTGCAGTATAATTGATAGCCTCTCAGCAATCATCATAACCATTATAACAAAGAACTATTATGAATGCTTGTTTTACTGTAAGCCCTTCCTCCCCTACACCCTCCTTGATAGGCCTTGGGTTTTTTTTAGATTAACTCTGTGAAAAGCTTACCACCATATGAGGAACACTCTCTCCTCTCCCAGCATAAAAGCTTACAATTTGTACAGCTTTAGCTAAGTAACTATTCTATACTGATATCATAATTACAAAATGAATCTGTATTACAAAGAAGGCAAGGTTTTATCATTCCTGAAACCAAAGTTCTCAGAGTTCATATAACTGGGAGTGACAGGCTAATAACAAAACTATACATAAAAGTTATAATTTACTTCCCATTTCATTTCTCACAGTAGTAATAGTTATCAGTAAGTGTCACAGTCTAAGACTCACTAGATTTAAAAATGAACTAAAACCAATCATAATGGTTAAGCTCAACTCCCTCATACTCATTATGAGCCACTTGCAGCACTAGCTAGTATCCCAGAGGTTAAAGGATTTAAAACCAGAAATTGTTTCCCTTTTCACATTACATACTTCTTCAGAGGCAGAGGATGTGTATTCAGCTTGTGCTGGTCTTGGAACTGAAAGCCCTGCTCCTGGTAAAGAGACATTAGACAGACGCCTCTTTCTCACTCCACTGCAGTTATTTGGAATCTTGAAGGCACATCGCTTATGGTAGTTTAACCCACAACCTGAAAGAAATGGGTTTTTTTAGACAAAAACTCCCAACATTCCAAGTAACAAAACCAGTACTAATATTTTGATAAAGCAGTTAAAAAGATGATCAGGAAAATGGTAAAGGCAGAAATAGATTGTTCTGTTACATTCTCCTCTTTTAGTGTTCTTGATGTGATCCACAGACACAGCTTTTTTGGCATTACTTGCTATAATACTCATCTCTAGTAAGCCCAGCTCTAGAAACAAGGTCTGAGACTCCAAAGCAGCTGATCACCCTCCACGCTTTTCCCCCTACCAGGAGGCTTTCATCACTCCCTCACTTAGCAGCGCAAGAGCCAAGTTGAAGCCAGTGAGCAGGCAGCGTCAGTACCTGACAGCAGGCTGCAGACTGCTCCGCAGCCAGCTGGATGAAGGCCATAAGAAAAGGGATTCCCCTTCAGGAGTCTCTTCAAAGTATGTGCTCCTTGTGCAAAGAACACACACTTGTAAGCTAGCTATTTTTTTTTTTTTTAAGTGGGAAACAAGAACACTGAAGTTATTTGCCCAAGGTCACACACAGCTTGTGTTAAAGCTGGGATCAGAACTCAGGTTTCCTGATGCACACCACCTTCCAACTCTATGAAATACTACATTTATCACATGCTAACATATCAAACAAGATACAATTTCTTCTTCCTCAACTTATGTAGATACACACACACAAAAATACACTAAAAATCACCAACTTACCTTCACATTTTAATCCTTGTCGTACCAAACCCCAAAGCATCTCTCCGCAGTAGTCACAAAAAGTAGGAGCCTTGTAGGAATGCACATAAAGTGCATGAGGACGAATCTGGAAATCTTCAACTGTAGCCAAAGCTTTTAAAAAATTGCAGTAAGTTATGGTCCTTGCTACAGGATCAACAAGGATTTATGGAAAGAACATGTTGTTTTAAAAATGGCAGATTCAAAGAACACTAATGAGCTGTTTAGACATCAGCATTTTACTGTTTAGCATTTAAATATGCATTTAGATTACATAGTTTTCAGTAAGCTTTTTTACTGAGGAAAAAAAACGTTGGATTCTGTAGGCTAATGGCCACAACTAATCAACAGTATGAGTCACAACGTTGGAAACCTCAATAAGCTGAGAAGGCAAATACAACAAGCTTTCCTAAAATCAACTTAACAGTAAACATCTGAAAGAGCAACTTAATTTTCAAGCTGGTTTGCAACCTACAAAATTTTCAAATGAAGGACAGTTCTATAGGTTAGATTTTTGTCTTCTAAAGGATTTTTTCAGTAAAAGCTTATTAGATTGACCACTGCGTGTATTAAAACAACTGAGTTTCCATGGAACACTGGAAACTTCACTAGTAATGTTCTTTTTCTTAAACATGCACAGATATATTTAAATGAATTTTTTGGTCCTGTTTCTTTGGAATGTAAAAAAAACCCAAAAAGTATTTTACACCAACACTACCTTGCCCTGATGGCTACTTTTCTTTGACCAAATATGTACTAACACTTCATATTCAGATTCTCATGTCTCAGTTTTAAAACTCTACTGAAAGAGATTTACATGTCTTCAAAATGCCTCAGTTTCTGGTGGTCTGTCTGTTTATAAGGAAACTATTGGAGATTGTCAAGAAGAGACACACAAGACAAATTTTCCAAATATGCCATTCACCAGAAGCAATGAAAAGTTCAAACCAAGATGATCAACTACTGAACGTCCTAGACATGCCTAGAATAGTAGGTCCTGAAATGCAGCCAAGGAACTCAGCCTTATTACTCTGGAAATCATACTTTATTGATCCAATTTACAAATCTAATCCCATGACAGCCAAGAGATCTCTCTTTTTAGAACATAACCTCAGTTGTGCATTTAGCCCTCGAAGTCTAAAGAACTGCTCGATACTAGTCCAGCTTTTATTTGTAGTTTAACTACAGCTGGCTTTTGGTTGAATTCAACAGGATATTGATGAAACACATACAGTTCAAATCAGTCAGGGTTTGAGGGGTTTTTGTCCTCATTACTGAAGAGTACTACAGGTTAATAATCACCACTCTAAGAACTTTATCATTTAAAAGAAACTGTTTTCAAACACCACAATAACCCTTAAGACTCTGTCCTTATGGGTATGAATCAGCAACTACATTTCTATGAAGCCTTTTAGCAGTGTAAACCATCAATGATGAAAGCTACAGAAGAAAAAGACAGATGTAAGCAAAAGAAAGCCAAGAACAGGGTTAGAAGAGCAAGTCCTGAATCCTACCTGCATTTCAGCTTCAATAATTATAATAATAAACTTATATAATTATAAATTATCATTCAGATTTATTTATAATAATAAACCTGAAGAAGATTAAAACATGACAATGAAACTATAATAAAACTCAGCACTGAAGTATCAGTACCACATTCATTTTCTTGGAAACCTCTACCCAAAAACAGTGACGCAGTCTGAGACTTAAGTCAAAGAGCTCAAGGCAAGCATCACAATGTTCCATAAAGTTCTATTTTCTTTTAATCTACTGAATAAAGCACTGTTCCACTGCTACAATAATACCTACCAGAGAGTACAACCTCAACAAGATCTCCCTCATGTATCTCTTCTGCTGATGTAATCCGTTGTAAAATATTATCTGAGTTCAGGTCATGACGGAAGAGGAGAATTTTGTCATACATGCCAAAGAAACCACACTCTGGGAACTGCAATAGAAAGCAAACTCTAAATTAACACATGGTCTTTGATAATCTTACACATAGATGTTTTTAATAGCAGCTACAGAACTTGAGTGTTTTAAGTGTTCCATGGAAACAAAATTGATCTGCTTTATTTTTGAGGAACTGAAGCATTTTCTGAACTGAAATGTGACATAAAGGTTAAAAAAAAAACCCCAAACCACCAAAAAAACCTCAAATAAAACCCATCAATACCAACTTCTTTCCTGTGCCCCCCCACCAACAGTGACACTTTTTTTTTTTTCAAACCTAGAAAGAAAAAATGTTAGGGTTTTTGTTTCTTTGGGTTTTTAATCTCTCAGACCTCCATAATCAGTCTAGCACCTGAAAGCCAATGCAGCTCTTTCCAACTCAGATACCACCACTTGTAACCCTTATTTCACAGACATTCTGGTCAGGCAGGTATTCAGCTTGAGACACTCCTGCAGCACCTGCCACACTCTTCTTGAGGGTCAAGCCAAGAGAGGCTCCACGTCATTGTTCTACAACAGCTTAGATACACAGATGCAAGAAAAGGAAAACTTGATTCCTGCCAAGGACAGAAGATAATATTGCAAATCCATATAGGGAATAGATACACTAAGTAACATGCCATTTTTCCATGACACTTCACTGAAAATAGCTTTCTTATTCTGTGTTTTCCCCACTCTTCAACATATTGTCAAGTGTGAGTAAAACAAAATTAAAAGCTTAAAAGTAAACAGACAGTTCACAGAGAAGAGCACGAATAGACCCTGGAGAGGAATGAGTACCAATCAACCAGCTCCTTTGGCCTTTTTGTTTAAATTGGGACTGAAACTCAAGGTGTGAACACACACACAGAAGCGCTTCACAGAAGAAAACAGGAAGAATGGGGGAAAAAATTATGGAAAAGCACACAACAAACTTTCAATTAATTAGGTAACAGACTACAGTTTGGTAATTTAGATCTTGCACGGTCAATAAGTAACAGGGTCTAAACTGCATGAAGCTTGTGGTATATTAACTGTCCTTAACTAAAGTAGTCAAAGACTTGTTTCTACCAAGTCAGAGACATAATGAAGGTATCCGTCACACCCATTGTTTTCACACTCCCTTCCCATTCAGAGAGAAAATAACTTCCTGTTTCCGGTAGCAATTTTATCCAAAATATTAAGTTGGCCTTCCCTCTTTTGGTGTGCACACCCTACACATTTATATTACACATAATACTGAAGAATCCCTGTGCTCTGGAAAGCATATTATCTACTTGGACAGTCACAAAGAGAGGCAGAATTTGTGCCATTTAACCCAGCAAAAGCAAAAGATGGACCTGACAAAATTATATGGACACCAATAGGTATTTAATCCACAGTACCAAGAAACTGATTTACTGGGCTGAAGCCAAACAAGCAGGCTGCTTCCTCTGTCTCCCAAGTCACTCTTAAGTTCCCTACATAAATTTGATACTCTCTTGTACTCTGTACAGTAGCTATGACAGTACAGATATGACAGTAGCATTATATTCCCTTAAAATAGATGCTTTTTAAACCTTTAAACAATAAAATGCTATTGCTTAAAATCCTTTAGGTCATCTGGAATTACCTGTAAGAACTCCTCTCTTACCGTACTATATTTCAGTATACTCATCTGCTGATTCATCTTGATAAATAGCAAATATCCATGAATATTCTGAAAATTACATTTTTCCAATCTCCCCAAGATTATTTGTATTAGGAAAGCAAATAAAAAGCTTGAGAATCAGCTGTGCTGCCCAAATACGTGTCTCAGTATCTCTGCAAGTATGCACAGGCCTTGACTTCATATTCAGAGCATGCATAGATACAGCACACTAGTAATTCTTCCAAGGGAACTGACAGTTCTTCATACCTGAAACAGTGTATAAACCTGCTTTAAGCTCTACCTCAAAATTCCACTGTGCCTCAATTAACAAGAAAACAAGTTATATCTACATTTTTGGTAAGTGCTGTGAGGTTTTATTCCTTGATAGTATATACACTGTTTAGCCAGGTATCACATCTTAATGCTAGTATCAAGAAGAGAAAGCTACCACATCAATGCTATAATCAATTGTATCCTCAAGACAACTTCTATTTATAGCATATCAATTGCATAATGCTGCTGAAAAACTTAATTCCAACAAAAAGGAGAGAAAAATCAATGTGAATATGGTATGTATCTGCCTGCAGATAACCATGACACTTTTATTAATGCTGATATTAATTTCAGCTGCCAGGAGGGACAACTGATGATTCAGAAAATCAGTGTGAACTACCGCCTCTTTGTATTAAATTCACAGAACCACCTACAAACCACAGATTTTAAGGAACCTCTAAGATATTTCACAGGCTTAAGTCTCCTTCTTTCGATAAAGATACGTCTTTGTTTCTCTTTTTTTCATTCATTGAGACCATAAACCCATCCTACAGCTGCCAGAACATCCCTACACATAATCCCCCACCCCAGTAACCAGGTCACACAAGAAGGACTTATTTTAAATGCTATGACCATATGTGTCCTGCATGTGACACCGTTTATCCATTCTCATGTACAAATCTTGGAGTTATTAAAATGTTTTAAACATACCACATTAATTTTGGTGACTACAAAGCATTAGCTGACACAATAAACAAAAGTTACAGACAAATACTCAAATCCTCTTTGTGACAGCAAGTGTAATCATTAAAAATGTGAGACATTACATTCCTTAGAAAGCAGCATCAACATTAATTCCAAAGGTTGTAAACAACAGTATAATGCCTATAATTACGATCTGGTTTTCAAATAAATTCTAGACTTAAAGGCTAAATTAATTTCTATGGAATAAAAGTATTGAAAAAAAGGCAAAAACATCTATTATAAATTGTTAGAACTGTTGGCATCAACATCCTCATTTGGTTCTACATAAATTGACCTTTTAAGCCGTACATCGTGTATGCTTATGATAATGTAGTTACATGTTTTACAGTCCTCTTCTCTCCAAACAAGTATACATACATATGGATGAAGTGACTGTGAAAGGTTGTCTGGTTTTGTAACTGTAATATTTAACCTCATAAAAGATAATTCCTCTGTTTACAAGCTTCAGCTTGATCAGTAGCTTCTAGACTAAGATGCAGAATCACAAGCCCAGGCCTAACAAGACTTACCATAATCTACGCTAGTATTTATTGCAAGAAGTCTATCACTAAACACAGACTCTGTATACAGTTTCCATAGATATATGTGACAGACTTCACCCAGGACACATTCTTCTATGCATTGTACATGCATAATCTCCATTTCTGAAACAATCATTCCAAAAACTAAAAGTGTTAGAATAGAGATAACCTGTTCATTGGTACTACAGAGCTGCAGTTGCTACAAGATTTTCCTGAATCCACAACAGGGACATGCGTAGCTGAGGAGCCTTCCAACAGCTCCCTTACCTATCCTGCCTGTTAGGTTAGGTGCTTGGCTGCATGTCCACAAAGGAGCGCAGAGGAACAACGCAGGTGGGGCAGCCCATATAACACCCTGCCCGGCTCAATCACAGGAGCCATCGGCCCACCAAAGGCCTATCTCCACATGCCAGAGGAGTACAGAGACACAAGGGCAGACAGGGAACCCAAATTAAGGACACCAAGGAAAGGATAACCCTGTCCAGGCCCCTCCCAGGGCAGTCACAGGAGAGCCGCAGCCCATTTCCAGCCATACAACCCATCAAGATAAATCAACACTACAGCACCTTTTGAACTGAGAGGGGTTTCTGCCCAATGGTACGTGACACACTTTAAGATGCCAGGGAATTATGATTGTACAAGACTTATTATGGGATTCTTATGGAAGGAACCAAAGGCAAGGAAAGAGGTGATTCAGGGAGGAACAAACATGGGGAAAAAATAGATGGATAAGTTGATAAAAAAGGCTGGTCATCTGTAAACAGGGGCTGGTCAGAACAATTCTCTGGCCATGCCCTGTGCCTGATCAGCACTGTCTGTCCTATCTTTTCATTAAATTCCATTTCTAACTGTTTTTTCTGGATGATGGGTTCCCATTCTGTATGGGGAGTCTGAGTGCCAGCAACTTGTGCCAGACCACAGGTCAGAGCACCCACGTGTCTGTGATGCCAGCGACTGGAGAGACCAGAGTGAGTGAAATCAAGAGCTTCAATACCCAGGTGCCGGCAGCTGGAAAGACCTATCCAACAGTTGCTACTGGGCAGAAAGTGCCTGAGCCCAGCTGCTGGAGACATCCACATTTTGTTGTTGTTTTTTTGGTTTGGTTTTGTTTGTTTGTTTTTTTTTATTTTGTGTGTGTGTTCCCACTAACAAACTTTCATCCTGAACCACCAAAGAAGGGTACAGTATGAGACCATTGGTGCTGGTTGTGTTCATGTGAGCGCTCTGTGTGTCTGCCTGTATTGATCTGCATGTATACGCGTATGTGTTGTACACCTGTATCCAAGTGCCTGTGCCTACTGGGAATACGTGGTCAGTCTTGCTACTCGTTGGACCTGGGATATGGAGCCTGCAGCAGCCTCGCCTCTCCGATCCAGTCATACCTAGCAAAACTTTTCAAGTTTGATGAACAAGTCCTGCCCTTTCCTTGCACGCACACAAGCCCCCCCCCCCCCCCCCCGAGATTCCTCGGTTATAAAAGAACAGACCCTAACACAAACATGCCTCTCCGACCGCTCCTCTCCACACACTTCAGCTCGGATTACTCTCCTCTGCCCCCACTACAGTCCTGTGCGCCCAAGCAATGGAAGTGCTGGCTGGCTGCCCTCTGCATGGCCGGCCCTGATGAGCTGCAGGTGGCCCGTCAGAGCCCGTGTCTAAGGCACTTGGCCAGGCTTCCATGGGGGGAGCTCTGCAAGCAGCTTGACTCCTTACAGACGTGCAGCGCCCTGCTCTCTTCCACTCCCTAGTACATTTGGGAATACAGCATTCCTTGCTAGCACCTTAGCCAGAAGGCTATGTGCAGACTGCTGGCCAAGAATAACCTCA